TGTGTGTGTGTGTGTGTGTGTGTGTGTGTGTGTGTGTGTGTGTGTGTCTGCATCTGCATGTGTGATATGAATGTGCAGGTGTGGGGGTGCACATACTTGTATACTTATGTAGAGGCCAAAGAATGACATTGGGTGCCCTGCTCTACTTTTTACTTCTCTGCCCTCTTCTCTTGAAATGTGTCTCTTGTTAAACCTGAAGTCTGCCATTTCTGCTAGGCTAGCTCTGCCCATTTCCTGTCTCCCAGTACTGGGGTTACAGGCACTCACAGCCATGCACAGCTTTTACATGGGTGCTGAGGATCTAAATGCAGTCTGTCATGCTTTTATTGTAGGCACTCTTACTCACTGAGACTCCTCAGCTCTTAGGACCCTGATCACTTTACAGGGTTCATTACAAAGGACTTAGAAATCCTAAAGCAGAATACTATTCCCTGCTCAGAACATTCTGATGACATGCAAACCAAGCTTTCTACACCTCTCTTTAACTGTCCTTCCCATTTCTCTCTGCTTAGCCATGTTTGCACTTTTTCTTCCAGTATACAGGGTGTATGCCCCACTCCAATTCATCTTGGAACCCTCACCCTAAGGACCTGTGAAGGTGACCTTTTGAAACACAGAAAATATGGTTAAATGAGAACTACAAGGGGTGTGCCCTAATTCAATCTGGCTGGCAGGATACCTAACAAAAGATTAGGCTGGGTGACATTGTATAGTTCAAGATACATGGAGGCAGGAGGGTCAGAGTTCAAAGTCATCTTTACCTACATAGTCTAAGGCTAGCTCGAGGCCAAAATGTGGAGGAATAGCTGGAGATATAGCTCAGTCAGTAAATATTTGCCTCACAATAATGAGGACCTGAGAAAGATCACCAGAACTCGGAAAGAAGGAAAGGAAAGGAAAAGGGAAGAGGAAAGGGAAAGGAAAGGGGAAGGGGAAGGAAAGGGAAGAAAAGGAAAAGGAAAAGGAAGGGAAGAAAAGGAAAAGGAAGGGAAGGAAAGGGGAAAGTGAAAGGGAAAGGAAAAGGAAAAAAAGGGAAAAAAGGGAAAGGGAAAGGAAAAGGGGAAAGGGAAAGGGAAAAGGAAAGGAAAAAGGAAAGGAAAAAGGAAAGGAAAAAGAAAAGGAAAGGAAAAAGGAAAGGAAAGGAAAAAGGAAAGGAAAGGAAAGGAAA